GTGTTTCATGTGTTTTATATTCCTCTGTACACCTTTACTTGATGTATTCATACTAATACAGTAGTAAATATCATAATAAAAGTTTATTCAAAGTAAATTAATTGATAGAAATATCAATGATTCTACTGTCCTTAGTAAAATTAATTTTCTAGCCTGTCCATTTTCTTCATCAACAACTTTTCCCCAGAAATTTCCATTCAACAAATTATGCATTCCATTCACCCATAGATGGGAATCAGCGAAATGCTAATTTATTTTCATCCAACATAGATTTATTTTATAACTCGTGGCCTTGGTTTGAGAAGGTTCTAACTAAAAAATCTGGGAAAATTAAGTTTACTGAGTGAGAAGAGTTCAACTCTAGAGTTGAACAGCGCCACTCTAAAGAATGTCCATCGATAGTCGACATTATTGAAATATCGATATTTTCCTCTAATGTGAACTACATTCTATATGAAATAGGCAGGATGAGTATAATTTTTTCCTTACGATCAGATTCATATATAATTTTTAAAGCTTCCTGGAATTCTCCAAATTCCACCAGAACCTTACCCATCATCCAAATCCCTTTGCACAATCTCTATCCAGCACCTCCCATCCATATAATCCTCCAAGGAGGTTAAAACGGCAGTGGCCACGCGACCTATTATAGTTTGTAAATATTGGATGGCCAGATTCTCCACTCACGACATGAGTGTATGTGGCTTAAGCACTGTTGCTCAATCTCCACTGGGTTTAGCCCCAGTGACGCGGTTGAGAGGGAAGTGCTGGGATCTCCTGGAGCCATGCTTTTCCCTCCACACTTGGAGGGACAAGTCTGGTTTGGAGTTCCCTCACCAGATTGTAAATATTGTATATAGGTATGTATTTGTTCTTTTTATACATTTATTTTTAGGTTATTTTATTCTTATTTATTGTATATATGTTATTTTTCTGTATAATTTATTTTATTTACTGTACATAGAGTGTGAATGTGATCTGTGAACACTATTATAAATGTCTTTGAGACAGATTGTAATACTTTTCAAAAAATAAGACTAAAAAAAAAAAGCTTTCTGAAAACAATAATTTCTACCTCTCTAGCTCATTCTCCAGTGGCTTTAGCACCAGTGAGACGGTCGAGAGAGTAGCGCAGTGATCTCTTGGAGTGCTTCTTTTCCCTCTATAGTTAAAGGGACATGGCTTGGGATTCTCTGCCTGATTGTATGTGTTGTATATAGATATGACTGTTTTCTTTATATTTTTAATTTTCTTGTCTTATAGTTATTTTATTTTTTATTGTATATACTTGTTCTATTATTATTTAGTTAGTATTTTGCTTTTGTTTATTTTGTGTTTTCTGTATATATGGTGTGAATGTGTTCATATCATACTATCATTATTGTCTGTGTTACATTAAAATCGTCGCAAATCTATGACTTCCTGACCTACAGTATCCTTCAATAACACCCCACTTATCACTGTTGAACAAATCCGCTACCTAGGACTCCACCTGGACAAACATCTCACTTGGAATCCTCATACCAGACTGAAACGACAGGAAACATTTCGACGTTTTCGCTTACTCCAGCACTTACTAGACAAACGATCTAAGCTTCCAATTAATTACAAAAGACTAATATACATGACTATAATAAGGCCTATTTGGACTTACGGAGTAGAGTTAAGGGGCTCCACTAAACCATCGAATTCCTCTCGTATCCGATCCCTATCCTAATGCTCCTTACTTTGTCACAAATAAAATAATTCATAAAAACCTTAATGTTCCTTATGTTTCAGATCTGGCCTAATCCAGATACTTATCTTTCCATAATAAACTTCATAACCATCCGAATCCTCTGGTTTCTAACCTTGCTTCCTCTTTAATTCCTGATAATCCTATGAGGTATCTGAAAAGATGGCTGCGTGATCTCCTTTTATAGACATATTATTAGAGTGTTACCAGAGGGTAGTTTCTCAGCAAGCGTTTTCACGTGATCATGTTATTGTGTACGCATTTACTTGATGTATTTATATTAATACAGTTGTAAATATCATAAATAAAAAATTTATAAAAATATTAAAATATCGAAGGGACGATATAGAAAGTATATAATATCGAAAGAAAGTTTTCGATAATATCGACTTCGATGGCCATCTCTACTTTGGTTTAAGCTCGGTGATTATCCTAAATCCTGGGTACTGCATTAGGTTTGTAAATTATAATTTTTTAAATTTAAATAAAACAACAAAAATCAATAAGGTCTGACTTATGCATTAATAAAAATATAAGACGGAAAAAAATATGAAATATCCAGTGAAGCATCTGATAGGGGCCTGGTATCCGGGGAATTCTTTTCAAATAGAAACCATTTCGCCTCAAACATATCACCTCATCCTCCAATCGCTTCCTTCTGACAGATCCCTTCCTGTCCGACTGGTTTCGTCTGTCAGGTCTCTCTTAGCAGGAGTACCGAGGGGGAACGATCCAAATCCCCAATTGTATTCGACATAGACATACCCGGCCGAACTTTAACGCTGTCAGCGAAATACACCGAGACAGCTGATAAAAAAGACATTTAATAAAGCACAGTTGGGTGAAACATTCGAATCTTAGGACATGCGTATTTCAACAAGATATATCCTTATAATAATTTTAATGGTGTTGATATATTACTTAGTTTTTAACTTATATTATAGGCGCCACTAGCGGATCCAGGATTTAATTTTGGGGGGCTTCAGGAAGAACAATTTTTTATATACATATAACGATAATTAATTTGGAAAAAAAGAAAGAACCTACCTATATGAAATGGTGTTTAAGTGGTTCTTAAAGTCCTATTAAATGTAATTGCAGGAACAAGATACTTTAAGAGATAGTTTTTAATATTATATATATATATATATATATATATATATATATATATATATATATATATATATATATATATATATATTTAAATATCCAATATTATATTTGTTCGTTTCATAATAACTAAGCTGAATTTGTACACATAATATGAACTACCACCTCCTTTTTTTTGGTCCATCCCCCTCCAAATCAAAATGGCGGTAGGTGTAAAGTGAATCCTTTTTTCTCTCAATTCCTATTTTAACCAAACCACATTTTATATTCTGCAAGTATAATTAAAAAATCATGATCACCATCAAAATCCTATGCCACTGATTTCTTATTTTAAAATTAAATATAAATAAAAAGATTGTACTTATAATCCAGTAACATTATCATGAAAAGGGGGGGAGGGGCTAAGTCGCATCAAGTGGTGGTATTAAGTGTCGTTTTCTTTTTTAGATGGGATGTGAATTTGAATATTACATTTTAATATCCCAAAAACTGACTAATTTTCGCACTTTTATTAATGCTTCCTAATTTCGACCATATAGAGACAAGTTTTTAACAAATAGCTTTCTATATTAAATTTTAAATTAGATTAAAGTTACTACAATGTGAGTACATTGTAACACAATATGTTTCAAGCAACAGGTACAGAAAGGATTTGGCCAGTTCAAAATATACTAAAATGAAGTCAAGAAGGAATGCCGCTGAGTACTCCTTTCCCTCAGGCCAATTAAGGAACTATTAGTATTTTTCTCGCCAGCAGACTCCTAATTGACATTAATTCTGACAGGTCTAGGTAAAAAAATAACGTTTAAAAAAAATAATGTTTTCACAGTCTAGCTATTTATGTAAAAATGTCTATAAAAATATTCTCTATAAAATATATTTTTACTTGTACTTATTGTCGTAAACCTATCACTTCCTGTCCTACAGTATTCTTTAATAACACCCCACTTATCCCTGTCGAACAAATCCGGTACCTAGTACTCCACCTGGACAAACATCTAACTTGGAATCCTCCTACTAGACTGAAACGACAAGAAACCGCTCGACGTTTCCGATTACTTCAGCATTTACTGGACAAACGCTCTATCCTTTCAATTAACTACAAAATACTCATATAAATGACCATAATTTGTATTTTTATTATAAGCCAGACTAATACCCATACATTTATAACGCTGTTATTATTCTTAGGGGACTGTAGTCCTGTAATTACTGGGGGATAGGGGAAAAAAAATAATACAATTATTTTTTAAGCTAATTCTTGGAATCGACATATAAAGTTATATTTTATCTAACTTTTGAACAGTTGGAGAAAACTTTTCTTGGAGACAAATTTTCTTCAAGAATATATATCATTTTACTAATATATATTCTTGAAGAAAATTTAATTATTAAAACTATCTTTCCCAAGGCTAGCTACCTGCTAGTCGAATTTTCTTATTATCTTAACCGATTAATTTACATATTTCATTTATTCATGTAACTGATTTATTATCAATTATAATTATAAAGTCTTTTTCTCGATGATCTTTAAATGTATTTATTTATATAACATATGTCAACTAAAAGGAGATAAAAAAAAATTACACGAGATGCTAAAATTAAATTCCGAATAACTCAAAAAATATACACTTTTTATAATCGGACAGTTAGGAGCAAAGATATGGTCTCTAGTTGTTTTTTATATGTTCTACTGCAAAGGGTGTACCATTTGTTTTGGTTTTTGATTTTTGAATGTGATACTGAAGTAATGCTAATTTCTTTAGCATATTACTAATTGAAATCACCTTTTATTTCTTTTTCTTTGTCATTAGGAAGATAATGTTGCTTAAGATGTGTAATTGTTAGGAAATAATAAACCATTGTGAAATACTTTGCAGCGTTATTTTACCTCAAATTGTGAGTGTCGCTCTCCCATTCTCTGAAATATGCACCTATAAAGTCACGAAATAGGCAACCTATATATTTTTGAACCTATTTAAATATATATATATATACAAAAAACCTATTATAAACTGTATACAAAGGGATATTGTTCAACTACGTTGTATATTCATTAAGAACCTTTTAAGGCAGACCTTGAGGGTGGTTACCTAACCGGTAAACGATATTAGCCAGCGATCTACGCGATAATAATAGCTTTATAGGTTTTAAGGGAGGCCCTTTTACCTCTGGCTCGATCATAGATAAACCTGTTAGGGCAGATTGTCTCGCTACGGCGCTAACACTCTTAGCAGTTCGATCAACCTATATAATGAATATTTCGCCGAGAGCTGAGAGCCAGATGTAGCGAGCGATAGTTAACTCAGTTCCGCTCCAATTATGACTCCGTGTGTCTGACTCAGAGCGGGTCCAATCCCGAAGACTTCCTCTCCCAGGATGGCTTTTCAATTAGGACCCGGGAACCTCCGCTGGAGTGGAAGATCATTTTTAATGAAGGAGCGAGGGAGCGGCTGGTGCCTGAACCCTAACCACCCCAAGGCCTCCCCCCCCCCTTCACCATATCACAATCCCTTCAAAGGAGTCAATATTTGCGATAATATCGTAGGGCCTGTTCTTGACAATGGATACGATTCGAACAAAGAAAGAAAAAAAACGAGGCCTGAAGATGAGAATAGTTGAAGAGTTCTCAAGGGCAGTTATGAAAGCTGTTATGATCCCTTCAATGACTCGTTCCATCTCCCATTCAATTTATATTCTAACTGTGTGTGTGATATCATTCACGCAAAAAAAATGTTTAACTATGCATTTTCATTTAACATAAAAAAAAAATCTGAAGAATGAAGAGAATAATATTTGGGGATATAATAATAATATCAGTCAAATAAGAAGGCGAAAATAAATCTCATTTCTCCATCAACCTTTTTGGATATAGCCATGATGAAGACCTGAACTTCAGGTCGAAACGTCGGCAAATATCAAAATAAATATTATCATTCGTTTTTGCCTTCTTATAAGACTGATCAACTCAACTATTCTTCTCTTCATTATTTACGACAGTCAACCATTTACCCACAATTATAAAAAATTCTGGTGCGGCGCGTCACACAACTTTAACTTACCACCCTCTTCTTAGCAGAAATAATTATGATCAGACAAAAGCGAAAAAAAAGTAAAAATTATAGAAGCTATATTTATTTATATTTCATTGTGAAATGAAAAAATATTTTATTATTCTAGGACTGTTGTCCCTTTAGATCAAATAATAAATACAGATTGTATGTCTGTGTGATTACAATTAGATTATATATATACAATAAGAGTTGACTAAAAATAAAGATACTGAAGAAAAGAAAGAATCCCTAGCATATAAAAACGTTAAATATGCAATTTCACTTTCGTATGACTTTTCGTTTTTGAGCTAAACTGTTAACATACACACACACAGACCATTTTGCGGAACTTGGTTATTTGGACTCAGGGGACCTCAAAACGTGTATTTTCGTTGAAAATTAAGAACCAAAAATTATCACTATCGCTATACTTTCCTTCACTATATATTTCATATATAGGTAAGTGAAAGTGAAAAAATAAAAGGACCTGTACCACTACAATCCATGAAGGATCTTGGGTCCAGTACAATTTAGTGAAAGTATTACAAGGCCAACGGTTGTGCAGGGAGAAGATCGGGCCAGGATCATGCTGAACCCCCAGGTTTTCCCCCTTAATCAATTATTTAATTAAAGGTACCCATTTTGTAGCTGGTGTGCTGCAGGAGTCTCACTACCCAAGGTCGCCCCACGCCCAATAAAACAGAATAAATAATTTGTCTGCCATGAACCGGGATTCAAACCTGGGACCTTGAGCATTGGAAGCTGACTGCCTAATCACTGAGCTATCCCAATAATTAAATGAACAGCTGTGTAATTAGTACTAATTATAGAGCTTATAGGAGAGCTTAAGTTACCTCTTACTATCCTAATAATAACAAATCATATTTTGATTAACATTGTGCGATTGAGAAGGTCACAATTTTCAGATTTTCGCAGGAGAATAATAAATTAAAGTTTATAAAATTATTTACAAATTTTATCCTAATTCTAAACCAATTTCAAACTACACGCTTGGATAATAAGACATTTTCGAGAAAAAAAACTTTGTCTCTAATTTTTCATTAATGAAGTTGTAGATACTTAAATCCCCTATTAGAATATATATATATATTCATTTACAAATTAATATCCAACCAGTCAACAGTTGCAGATATTTTATTATGTTGTAAGACTACAGATCTTGGCAAGTTTTATCCCTCTTGAGGGAATAAACTTCTATAGCTAGTTAAAAATCTGGGCAGACTCATAGAAAAATTGACATCTAATATTTATACTTATTACATCTAATATTTATACTTACAGTTTATACTTAGCAATTCGTTAAGTAGGTCTTCTTCATTTTCTTTTTTAATGATTTTTTTTTTTGTTTTTCCACTTGAATTTGACATATCCTAAAGTCAATCAAATGAACTTTATCATTTTCTCTTCGGCAGTGCGAAACATACTTCTAAACTTGAGATAAAACGCAGAACTCAACTATATATATATATATATATATATATATATATATATATATATATATATATATATTCTCTTGAGACAGAAAAGACATACGAGGTTGGAATTGAGCCCATTATAAAAAGAGGATAATAATAATAATAATAATAATAAGGCTTAGCAAACCCGAAGGTTCGATGCCGACACCACCAATCGCTTGTTACACACCTCCCTCCACCGTTCGCCGTCCAAACCCAGTCCCTTCAGATCGTCTTTAATGCAATCTTCCCACCTTCGCTTCGGTCTACCCCTCGGACGCTTACCATTCGGCACAGCAAATATTAACCTTTTAGGTTAATTCTCTCGTTACTAAGCCCAACTACTTTACAAGCCCATTTCATTCGCCGCGATGAAATTACCTCAATTATATTACCCGGATACAGATCACGCAATTCGGCGTTGTGTAACCGTCTGAACTCTCCGGTTAACTCATCCTTCTTCGGTCCGAATATTCTACGCAATACTTTATTTTCAAAAACCTTAAGACGCTGCTCATCCCTTAATGTAAGCGGCCAAGTTTCGCATCCATAAAGAACTGTAGGCAAGATAATTGTTTTATAGATTCTAATTTTTAAGTTTCGGGACAAGAGGGGCGAGCTAAGTAGTTTTGTCACAGAAAAATAACAAGCATTTCCCGTCTTCAGTCTAACCTTAATCTCTTCTTCAATTTCGTTTTTTCTAGTTATCGTAGAACCTAGATACCTAAATTTATCTACCTGTTCAAACATATTACCATCTATATCGATGTCACCAGTAGTATCGCCATTTTTGCAGCTAACCATATATTTTGTTTTATCCACGTTTATTTCGAGTCCTAGTTCTTTACCGGCGTTCATTAACGTTGTCGTATTTAGTTTTATAGTTTCACCGTCTTCGCTTAACAGTACCAGATCATCAGCATAGCCCAGCACGGATGTTGTCCCGCCCAGATCCAACCCTTTCTCGGTTCGCATTACCTCCCTAATAGCATGTTCTAATGCCAAATTGAACAGGACAGGCGAAAGAGAATCCCCCTGTTTTAAGCCCGAACGAACCTCAAATTTTTCGGACAAATTATTACCGATTCTAACTTTATTGAGTGTCTCCGTCAAGCACATCCTGACTAGATTTACTAGTTTTTTTGGAATCCCCTGCTCGATTAGAATATTATACAGTTTCTGGCGGTCAATAGAATCGTAAGCCATTTTAAAATCTATATAAAGCTTGTGAACAATACCGTTATACTCCAATTTTTTCTCTAATATTTGCCGTAAAGAAAATATTTGATCAATAGTCGAACGATTACGTCTAAATCCGCATTGGTAGTCTCCGATAATTTCCTCGGCGTATACCGTAATTCGACTGGTTAAGATTAAAGTGAATATTTTATAACATACTGGAAGGAGTGAAATTCCTCGATAGTTATTACAATCCGTCCTCGGACCATAAAAAGAGGATTGCTAATAGAAATATCCAGCAGTAGCTAGGACCCTCGCCCCCCCTCAGGGCGTAGCGATTAGGCAATCTGATCCATGGATCCTGCTATCTCCTTCCAGGCCCGCGGTCAGCTGTCGGTCCCTCGGCAGTCACTGCTGATTCATCTACAGTCTGATCTATGGCTCTTACTAATTTACTGTATTCAAACTGCACCCTCTCCTCTCTTTGTGGAGGATCGATTCGTCTCCTCTTATCGCTAGTTTGTTATTTTAATGGTTTAACAGTGACACTGTTAAAATATAATGGTGTAAGATATTCCATGGATACGTGGTCTGCAAGAGGGTTGAGGGTTGAGGGTTGGGCTAAAAAAAGAACCAGATAACAAGGTATGAGAAACAGGTATAAAAAAATAAAGTAAAATGAAGTTGTTAGAATAATGACAATAGTAAGAACTAAGAGATAAATAATGATAACCGTTACAAAGTTTGGAATGATGAAGTAAACACGATCAAAAAAGGTGACATAAGTATTAAAATGGGAATCTTAGAATAAAATGTAAAACATAAAAAAAGGAATATGAAGTTATGTAAGATATGAAAATAAATAGTAAAATTACGACATTGCGAATAGAGTAGTTAGATAGAAAATTGAGATATTGTAAAGTCTATCAAGATGTACAGACGATGTATAATATAATAAAGAGTTAAAACAGAGAAACGGAATGAACGGAAGGAGGTAAGAAACTGAGAAAGCTGAAATAAGAAAGAAATAAAAAAAAAGAGTACCTGTCTCAATCAATGTTGAAAGGAGAAGCAAAAATAGTAGCAAGTGAGGGGGGAGAGAAGATATGTATAGTGGCGTCATCTCAAACGGTTATCTGGCAAAGTTTGAACTAAAGTAGCGGAAGCGTGAATATGGACGAGAGATTCTTTTCTTCATTACTCATGACAGTCAACCATTTACCAATTATGAATTAAATTAATTGATTAATATAACCGATTCAAATAATTAATTTCGTTTTATATCTGTAATCAATACTTTCAAAAATGAAAATAAAATAAAAAAATGTACTGAAAAATTAAGAAGCAGCCTCCCTTAGATCTTGATTCAGTCGATTGATTCACGAACGGTCTCTTCTGTTCAGTTTTTTGACGCCTTTTAAAGGATATGCCAGCAAATTTCTTTAGGCTGCTGTTCCATGTTGGAAGTACGTACGTGTTTTAGCCCAGTCAAAATAGCACAAAAAAAGAGTCTAGCTTGCAAAAGGTTCAAAATTCAAATTTCATTTTTATATTGTTATGTAAGCTCTTCCGAGGTACGTCACGAACATTACTTTGCATAAAGATCTAGACATGCCAACAGTTAACGACCACATATGGACACACTACGAAAAATTTTAGAATAACTAACATGGACTTCCTACACACTGATACCAGACATGGCCTCGATTAACACGCTTGGGAGGTTCAAAACAAATTGGATGGATTTCCTTACCTAAAAATATGCTCAAGCTAAGAAGGGATGCCGCTGTGGACTCCTTTTCCTCACTCCAACAAGTCACAATTAGTATTTTACCGACAGAAGACTCGCTAATTAAAAGTACTTCTGACAGGAGAGGTTAAGAAAAAATATATAAAATCTAAGTTTCTACCCTAG